CATTTCTTTATCGTGCCAACGTTTCGATCTGTATTGAGATCATCTTCAGGGCCTTGGATTTATAAACTTTGTTCAAATTTTACAAATATTTTTTTTAATATAAAATTTTTTAGCATTGCATAAATTCATTTTATTTATTTATTTATTTTTTATCTAAAATTTCTTGCATTATATAAATTCATTGGTTCACATCCTACAATTATTTGTAAAATTTAAACAAAGTTTATAAATCCCAGGCTTTGAAGATGATCTCAATAAAGATTGAAACGTTGTCACGATAAAAAAATGTTTTTCTAAAACCTACGTCAAACCAGACCGCATCTCACGATTTCTAATTAATGTTCACTAAACACCACACATTTTGTACTTAGTACATAACAAATTTCATCCCCTCTCAAAACTTTATTTTTGAAACAGTGTTATGATGCCAAAAAGAATATGCTGTATTTTCTATTTCTTTGAAATGACGAACAAATTTAGGTTGCTTTCCAATCAAACGGTTTGAAATTTAAATTAAATTAATCCGACAAAAGCTTTTCAAACCAATTTTGCGCAGTTGTTTCAATTTTATTCAATATATACGAATGTAGTAAGGCCAGAAATGTACTGGCCTTCCCAGTTGGCGATATAGTAAGTAATCCTGAGATACCATGGAGTCACAGCGATTCCAGGCGGTTTCAGAGGACGGACTGCACATAGACTATGCCAGAGTCGCTTAAGTGGAATTCAGCCGGTGACCCAGATGTGCCTCGAATTACTAGATTGGTTGAATAGAGGATTCCCAGGACCCAATATATCTGCATATTGCCTCTCCGTTCTAATACACGACTGACGTAAAGTTTATTTGTCCAGCTGTCTTTCCCCATCTATCAGACAACTCGGGCCCATTACAAGATTGCCAAAGTGTTTAATATGTCCTCGGGGTTACACTATTTTCACTCTTGCTTAATTTCCCCCGCATCCCCGGCCCGTCATCGGAAAAATTCAAATATACAGCCGACGGTCGGCATTCTTTAAGAAATCGTCGTCAAAATAAGCAATGAATTTGGCCAATATCCACGAAAGCTATAACTCACGTGAGGATTTGTATTGAATAGCATTCAAGCATATCATTTATATTCCGTCAAAGGAGTTGAAACCGATCTCTTTAGTAGAACATGATTAATAGTAAAGAGTCTATTTAGTTCAGATGATGAACAGATTACTTTCACTTGTATAAGCTTGCAAACTGAATGAAAAAACAAATCGATTCATTACTCCATCAATCCAGGCATTACATGTAGAACCGAGTGATACAATCTAAATTTTTAGTTCAATTTATTTAGTACAAATAACTGATTGATGATTTCTCTTTTTATACTAGAGTTTATAATATACGACATTCAAAAGAGTCAAACGTATATTTTACTCTTGTTAGAAAATTTGGTGGCAGAAAAACTTAAATTGAACGGACGCCAATAAGTTTTCCGACTGTATAAAAAGATGCCGATTCTTCGACCAGTTCGAAACTGAAAGAATCTCCTGGTAGAGTTTTCTTTGTCTATTGAAAACCTTGAAAGGCTTCGACTCAGTGAAAACTGTTGAATTTCGAAGTAGGAGATATTTCTCGATTGGCAAAGTTTTGTTAACTGCCTTCCAGTCGTATCGCGACGTCGTGAAAATGAATTGAAACACGTTCTATTGACATGCTGGACCGATTCTCCTTTCCATATAAAATAGGGTGCCCGATAGTTTAAATAAAGGAAAATATCGTTGCCACATAATTACATATTAACTATATTGGAAAAATGATTCTTTAATAAAAAAAACACAAAAAAACAATTTCGAGCTATTTAACATATCATTTATGTAATTAGTTTTATATTTGTAACCAATTTTGCTATAAACTTAATGTTTTTGGTATTCCTATTGCTATAATTAAACTTAAGTAACTAATTGCTAAAGTAAAAAGTAAGTAAAATAATTCCTATAATTACACTTAAATAACTATAATTAGCATCAAATTAGTTAGAAATGATGAATGATGGAGTGAGTGCGGTGTTCAATCCGTTTTAAAAAGATAGTTCCCGCAGTAAGTTGTTTTGCAACCAATAGAAATCCTTCAACCTGATGATGAGCTAAGGGCTCGAAATCCGGATCTATACAAAACAACTTACTGTGAGTAGAAACTATCTTTTTAAAGTGTATGCTGATGACATAGCAATATACTGTTCATCGTGGAGGGTAAGTGCTATTACTAACAAATTGAACCGAAACCTCCATAGGATCGTTAGGTTTTGCCACAGATGGAAACTCAGGTTAAACACAACAAAAACTGAGGCAATTCTATTTACAAAACGACATCCTATACATAGGGAAGTTATAAGAATCGGTGACTCAAATGTTCCTTGGCGCAATATTGTTCAATACCTTGGTTTAGACCTCGATAGCAAGCTTAACTTTGGTACCAACCCTTGTAAAAACGTTGATAAAGGAAAGTGTGCTATCAAGACTCTGTTCCCTTTAATGTGTAGAGAATCTGGGATGAGCCCCCAAAATAAACTCATTGTATATAAAACCATAGTCAGGCCAATGCTGGTATACGCCTGTCAAGTGTGGAGCTACACAAGTAACACCAATATAAAGTGTCTACAAACAATTCAAAATAAATTTTTAAGGTTAATTACATCCTCTAAAAGAAGTGTTCGTATAAACTATATGCTCGAAATTTTAAACATCCCATATATTAAGGATGATATCAAAAGGGTAACTAGCTCGTTTTATGAACGTAGCCCTGAGAATACAAATATGACAGTAAAGAATGTAGGAAACTATAACCTCAACAAAAATTGGAAACACAGGAGGATCAAACACATTTTAGTATGACTGCTTTGCATATTTATTCACTGTGATATTATTTATTAAATTGTTTATTAAGTTGTTTATTAGATTCTTTATTAAATTATTTGTTAAGTTATTTATTAAATTATTTATTGAATTGTTTGTTAGGTTGTTTATTAAATTATTTATTAAATTGTTAATTTTACTGTTTATATAAGTATTTATTTACCAAATTAGTAAATGTCAGACTATGTATTGTACAAGTCTATTCAATGATTTTAACTTATTAGTAATTATTTATTACCTTGCTTATTTATTAACTTATTTATGAAATTAGCTAATATCAAAGAAATGTGTTGTTTATCAAACTTATATATTGTGCATATGTAGTCAATGACTTATGATTTGTAATTTATAATATATGTAATTATTTGTAACTTCCATATTTATGAATGTATTCTCTCTGCAAGTGGTTTTTAGTATAATTTTCACCACTGTTCTAATTTCTCTTGGCCAAATCAACAAATATTGTAAATATACATAAGCCCTGTGCCACAAGGATGTATAATGTCCTAGACATTTCCCCTTGTAGTCACTTTGTACAAAATGTATGTAAAAATAATAGTACATAAAAATCAAACAATCAATCAATCACAATCTTTTTAAAAAGGATCAAATTAGATATTTTTGTCTACAAAACGGTTTCGAGTTGCTCATAAGATCAGGGGCGCCATTGCATAGAGGGTCGACAACACGTGCAGGAAATGTAGAAGGATCATCACACGAGCTTCTGCCCAGTTCATTCACTCATACTCACCCAACCTCAGTTCATTTCTACAATCGGCTGAGTCGTAACTGAGTGCATGTTCATCATAGGTTACTAAACCCATCTTCTAAATTTCGAAGGAGACTACCTTATGTACCGGTTCTGCACAATTGGCCAAGGGTACAGTGACCTGACTAGTTTATAAGCTTTTATATTTAACGGGCTGGTTAGTGAAAAAAAGTGGAAGTGCAACCGACTCACGGGCTTCTGGCCAATCATAAATAATTTCAGCCTTAGTTCTTTATGCTAAAATAATAATTTGGAAATATTTATATCTACCTGGCACATTCCACATAGCTAACAGTATACGGTATCTTGTCTGTAGAGTGCATTTTCATCGCAGGTTACTAAACTGTGTTATATTCTAGATAGCAAATTAAAGTACCTTTTCTGCCACCAACCCCAAACAAATTGGCCAATAGAACGCAGTAACCTGAATAGTTTATACGTTTTTAATTAAGTTAGTTGTTAGATTTAACGTGTTGGTTAATCCTAGAACCAGAATACATTTGGTTGAAGTCTGTCTGAATTTGGGTAGTTAGTTTAAGCTTTTTAATTATTTCCCTGGTGTTGGAAAATGGGCCCCTTCAGGCGTATGTGCTTGAATCCAAGGAAAGACTACCATTTCCCCTATGAATGTTGGCCAAATTTTGATGGCTTTGCATGCTCGCTGGTCCAACAGTTGTTAGAAATTTATTTGGTTCGCAGCTCTACAAACAGATTTTTATGTCAGATTTATCGTTTATCTAACGTGAAGTTAAAATGAATAAGTGGAAGACCATCCTTGTAATTTATCATAAATAGATGTTGCAGATATTTGTGTATTTTTTCTATTACTTGTATCTTCATTTATTTATTGAATAACATATAATTTAATTGTCAACTATTTGTAGTCTAGTTCTCACAGGAAATGTTCACATATAAAGACAGGTCTATCCGAACCAAACTGTAAAATCTATAATTACCATGACTTAAAAAACTCTTGAAAAACCGTTTCAAATAGTTTCATTTTGACATGCATGACATTTCTCTGCCTGCGCGGTAATAAAATAATAAAATATTAGTTGTGACATATCAATTTCAGAGACGTCTTTGAAATAAACTGAACGCTGTTTCCATCCTTATCGGCAAATTGTATTTACCTCAAGTTACAAAGCGTGGGTTAAATGAATATTTGCTCGCTTAGCAAGTTTGCCTTTGCTTGCTTTCATAAACTTTTACTGTTTCCTCAGCACACACGTGTCCAGAGAAGAGCAAACTCTAGAGTTCAACAATTGTTTTATCCGCAAATACGGTTCAGCGACCGTCAAAGTCGGATTTATCTTACAACAGGATACATTAGATAATTCCTTACCTGAGGAAAGTCTCGTTCGCTGGACTGGTGATGGAAATGAACGAAGTACGTGCGACCACCATTGACGGCGTGGAGGTAACCGAGTTTTATGAGAGGAGCCACTGTGTGTCCGTCACTTAGCACTTCCAAAGTCGAATCGCGAAAGTTAAGAGGATTCTGGACGGGTCGGTCCCAGTCCGTGTACTCGTTTTTCAAAGTTGAGAATATTTCGTTGAGGTGGAAGTAGTACGAGTTGCGCACGTACGTCCTGAGGATGCGGTCGCGGCGCGTCTCGTTGAAACCGTATTCGAGATCCTGGGCGCTCAGGTCCAGGTACGACTCGGTCGTCGTCAGGCCAAAAAGTAGATCCCGATCAGAGAATTCGGACAGCTGGTAGCCGGGGCCGTGCCTTTCTTGAGAAGACAGGCCAGTCTCTGGCACCGTGGAGGAAAGCGTGGAAGAAAGAACCGCTCCGTCCACGAAGGGGGCGAATCCTGGGAGAAACCTGAAAAACAACCAACGTTTAGTTTATACGAATTACACATTTTTAGGTTTCAAAAATTTGGCATACACAAATTATTCATTTAGTCTCATGTAATCAATTTAGTAATCTGGCAAACAATTATTGTGAAAAATACGGCAAATAAAATATATAATCAAGTTCATTCTTATTTCTCATCGATAATAGAAAAATAAAAATAAACGGTATAATATTTAATCTGTAAGATTTCTCTGTGTAGGAGGATGAACCTGTAGTTTTGTCGTTATTTGGTACGTCTAACCTTGCAGGTTGTTCTGTCAGAAGATAGAAATTACACATCTTCAATAATGAAGATGGCGAGATGGCGAAACGTCTGACAGACGAAACCTGTGGGGATAGGCTGAAGAAAATGATAGTTAACTATAAAATTACAAATATAATGTTTATTAAGAATTTTAACTAAAATTTATACTCTTCCAAAATTCATTGAAAATGTTTGTTTTATTAGGAATTAATGGCTCTCTTTGATGGCCATTAATATTTTGCCTGAAGGCAGTTATGTTCTGTACAAATATTGGTTCTAATTCAGTTGGTAGGATGAAATGTATACACAAGTAGAGTTCGTAAATATCGTTTTTCTCACACAACGATTTTAAAGAAATAAATTAAAATTTTATCATAATGTTATTAATCCGTAATAACAACGTAATATGCTTATTTCATTTGTGTCATTTATTACACAATCGCTAATTCAATAAACAGAATAGATTTTGAGTTACTTAATATTTGTCCGCTCTCAGTTTGACCTATTTGCGAAATCCACCATTTTTGTAATATGTGGTAAGTATTATTTTTTACACAGCACACGAATTGACGGAGCCGACTTGATCTAGAAAAACAACATGGTAGAATAGGATATGTTCCATTGCGACCGACATAGGTATATATGCACATGTCTGCTTTTTCTTAGCAGATTCAGACATTCTTCTCTTCTACTTTGCCCATATTCTTTAAATGTCAGCAAAGATGGCGGTGGCCAGTGTAGAGACTTATAATTTTACTTCAATCTTGCCTTTTGAAAGAGAGAGATAGACATAGATAGAATGTGTGTGTGTGTGTGTGTGTGTGTGTGTGTGTGTGTGTTTGTGCGCGCGCGAGAGAGAGAGAGAGAGAGAGAGAGAGAGAGAGACAGACAGACAGACAGACAGACAGACAGACAGACAGACAGACAGGCAGATAGACAGACCTTCGCCTTTCTTTTTGAGAGACGGTTTGGTGTGATGTAGGTTTCAGAAAAATATTTTCTTTATCGTGCCAACGTTTCGATCTTTATTGAGATCATCTTCAGGGCTTGGGATTTACGACAATCCTGAACAACAAATTTAACAAAAACATATAGGATGTGGAAAAAAGTGAATTTATACAACGCAAAAAAATATTTTTTATATTCAATCAAAGTATTTGTACTCACTCTAAATATTTGTTTTCTCGTATTTTTGAGATATTTACAATTGTGTTAGATTTCTTAATAACTGGTGATTTTATCAAGTGCATTTTGCCTCTTTTTTTGCTATTTGATCATTCTGGTTGTTTCCTCCTTTGCGTTCATTTCTTAGAACTCAAGAATTTCCTAGGGTCATAATGAAATTTAGGTATTCATAAACTACTTTGGAGCTAAAAGTATACGCATTTAGTGCCTTTACAGCTGCTAGTCTGTCTGAAAGTAACCAACCGCACACATTTTATATTCTTTCTTATCAATTTCTGTGCAAAAAGTTGATGCATGGTCTTCAGATTGAAAGATGATTGGAATTAGTCCAAGTTTTAATTCGGTGGGTCTAATGGTGAAATTCATTATAACCAACTCGTTTATTTTAATTTTCTTCAGAACTGTGTTGGCTTTTCCATAGATCTTGTTTTATTTGTTTGCATTGTAAAAATATGTTGGCACTTTTGAAAGCTATCATTTGTACATGAATGTAGTAAGGGTGGGAGATCGAATGGGGTTTCTATCGCTGTTACGAAGCAAGCACCACGTACTCTTATTTAAAAGACACATCAATCTTTTCAGACTATATTTTGTTTAATTCCTCCTTCTTTAGTGTTTTTTACCAACCATATTAGCTCCAAATATGCGAAACAATATAAAATATTGGTATGTACTACCAGTGTCTAACCCTTGTGTATAACAAATATGGTGGGGGGGTTATTTCCCAGTTTTTGCTGCATAATCTCTAGGCAATGCTTACGTTAGCCTTAATTAAAATATTATGTTGTTTATATGACTTCTCACTTATAACTTTGGTCAAGGGTTAGACCTAGGTGAAATAGTTTCTGTGGATTAATTTATGGCTTCATTGTTTACAGTGTGCTTTTAGGTTTAGCTTTTTTTTAACGGTGTGGGAAATGTTTTCGTAGATTGATATTTAAAACTATTTTATCCCACTGTCTTTCGACAATTTAAGTTTTTAAAAACTAAGAAAAAATACTTGTACTTTCTGTAAATTTTTCTATGGTACTGTTTAAGTTATTATGTGACAACGGCCATTCTTAAAATATTATTTATTACTTGTGTAATTAATGTTTTGACCTTTTGCTCTCCTGAATCTAAAAATCTTTCTGCCTATCAGTTTGTAATAAAATTTTTGTTTGGTATTAAATTTTATTACGTCCCTCTTCCCAGACGGGAAAGTTTTTGATTACAAAGTTAATGCAAGCCCGCACTCGAGAGGCCTAACTTTCCTAATTGCGACATTAATATTTTTTCTTTTGAAATGCTTTTTCGTGAAAACTTTTTTTAAACGCATTAATCATGGTGGAACATTTTCGTCCAACCCTTTTACACTGGAACGCGTCTCAAGATTCTTGCATTCTTCTTAAATTTAAACGCTAAACGACAAGGTTTTAGGTGCATTTATCGTTTATTTGACAATGATTTCACATATTAATTTCCTACTACATCCATTGGACGCATACTGTTTTACCTTTTACTTGGAACTTTTTTTTCTGGACAGGGGCACCCGACAGCTTGGTCATTTCAGCCCCGAAGCACTAGCAATCTACCCCTACACACTTTATACACATTCACACCCATAAATACATTCATTCCTATATACGTTGTTCGCAGCCATAAGGTTTGGTCGATGGAGTACTCGATATTCCTCCATCTACCTGTTTCCTATAATAAACTAATCTAAACTGGGGTCGAGGGGGAAATTATAATAAAATTTCCAGCCCAAGTCATACCTATGACCTGAGAGGCGATGAAGAAGCTACTTCGCCATCAGCCCCTCCCCATTCATACCGATAAATACACTTAATCATACAAGACACAGAATCACAAAGCACATATTTTGAAGGCTATATAAAATAAAAAATCCCAAATCCTCTGAAAAGCGGAACAGGTGACCTTGAAACTTGCTACCGTGTCCGAGAACTCTTCTTAAATCCGGCAGCATGCCTACTCGCTTTCTTTATGGAGCCAAGGCATGACACGCCCCTGTAAAATCTTATTCTGAACATAACCACACATTCATTTTTGACCGTCCTGATATTTAATTGTTTTTACGGAAAAAAAATTTAGACATATTTTTCTACTATTCACATTGCATAAAATATACAAAAAGAACATACGAAAATACTTAATACAGTATTATACTGTCAAACCTCAATGTATCATATTTATACAATAAACCTATTTTTCCATAGCGCTTAAAACATTGGTTTTTTTTTGTATAAAGATCATAATCTTGATGTCATAGACATTTGGCTGCAATTATTATATTACTGAAAGCAATTTGCAATTTCATTTAACTATATTCAAAAATAAAATAAATAACTACGGATTAAAACCTATTTCAAACATCATTTGTATTCTAACTGCTCAATCAAAAATTTACAAAAAATCCATTTTATATATAAAACAGACAACGATTTTTCTTCATCCATCACCCAGCAGTACCTACAAAAATTTTGGTTTTGAAAAAAAGGGTTTTCAACTTAACGCCATCCTCAAATCTCATCTTTCTAAAAATAAGGATTGAGGATACTAAGGGGTTGTTTGTTTATAACATTTGTTTTTGATTAAATTGGAATTCTAAATGAGTCTCCTCTTGTTGCTTTCCCCTTTAAAAATGCAGAGGACACTCGCCCGGATTAACCTAACTTGAGCACGCACTCATTAATAATTCGCAATACACCATACCAATAAATAAATAGTTACATAAATACATGATAAACACGACTAAATCAATTATTGAAAATTAATAAATAAACATTAACCTGCACGATTAAACCGACCTGAGAAAATTATATGATTTGATCACAAATAATTTAACATTACTGTGGTGTCATTTTTAGGCTTGATGGAAAACTTTATGTACCTTGGTGGGTCTAGGCGGACTGCCAGCAGATCTTTGAGCGGCTTGGACCGAAGACAAGGTGCCAGGTCGTCTTCGACGAGGTCGCCGTGGCAGCCGGTCTGTTCTGCCACTCTCCTCTTCACCGCCAGCGGATCTTTCTGCAGCGCCCATGGACTCAAACCGGACCCGCTGAACATAATCACTCGGTGAAGCAACTCTAAAACATTCAACATTCATTCCATTTTTTTATATAATGACATAATAAAAGAAGCACGAAACACTTGAAATAGGTAAAACAACCAACGCAAAAAACGGCCATAATCCACATTTTATATTTATTTTTTCATTATTATCAAAGGAGTTTTTTATAAACAAAATCATGGCTTAGATCATGTTGAACATGCATGACACAGAAATAATGGTAGTAATTACATAATTTACTCATTGTGGAGAGATAGAGAAAAAAAGAAAGTGAGAAAGTAGGAGAGAAAAATAGAGAGATAGAAAGAGAAAAATTGATTGATAAAGGTGAGAGAGAGAGTGAAGGAAAAAGTACAATAAAGAGAGAACGAGAAAGTACGAGAAAGAGAGAGGCAGAAATAGAAATAAATTTATCAACAGATACAGGTAAATAGAAATAAACAGAGAGAGAGAGAGAGAGAGAGAGAGAGAGAGAGAGAGAGAGAGAGAGTGAGGGTGAAATTAAAATAAAGAGATGAAAAGAAAGTAAAATTAGTAGAGGAAGAGACAATACAAGAAAGAGAGAGGCAGAAATAGAGATAAATTTATCAAGAGAGAGAGAGAAAAAGAAAGAAAGAAAGAGAGAGAGAGAAGCAGAGAGAGAGAGAGAGAGAGAGTGAGAGTGTGTGTGAGGGTGAAATTAAAGTCACGAGATGAAAAGAAAGTAATATTAGGAGAGGAAGAGACAATACAAGAAAGAGAGAGGCAGAAATAGAGATAAATTTATCAACAGATACAGATAAATAGAAAAAACAGAGAGAGAGAGAAAGAGAGAGAGAGAGAGAAGCAGAGAGAGAGAGTGAGTGAGGGTGAAATTAAAATAAAGAGATGAAAAGAAATTAAAATAAGGAGAGAAAGAGAAAGTACAAGAAAGAGATAGGCAGAAATAAAGATAAATTTATCAACAGATACAGATAAATATAAATGAATAGAAAGAGACAGAGAGAGCGAGAGAGAAGGAGAGAGAGAAAGAGAGAGAGTGAGAGGCAGAGGGAGTGAGACAGAGAGACAGACAAAGAGAGAGGCAGTGAGGGGGGAGAGATAGAGGAGAGAGAAAGTGAGTGAGGGAGAAAGTAAAATAAAGAGAGGAAGAGAAAGTAAAAAAAGAAAGAAGAGCAAGTATAAGAAAGAGAGGGGTAGAAATAGTGATAAAGGTATCAACAGATACAGATAAATAGAAATAAACAGAGAGACAGAGAAAGAGAGAGAGGGGAGAGAGAGAGGTAGTGAGAGAGAGAGAGAGTGAGGGAGAGGTAATGAGTGAGAGAGTGAGAGAGAGAGTAAGAGAGGAGTAGTGAGAGAGAGAGATAGAGAGAGAGATAGAGAGAGAGATAGAGAGAGAGAGAGAGTGGTGAAGAGAGGTAGTGAGAGAGAGAGAGAGAGAGAGTGAGTGAGGGAGAAAGTAAAATAAAGGGAGGAAGAAAAGTGAATATGTGAAGGAACATAAGAGTAATTTATAAGCAAATGTAAAGAAAATCGCAATAATAAAATATAATAAGTAAGTAAATCTAGAATAGAACTTTGTTAAAGGGTGAGGTTAAAAAAAGGCGTTCGTTCTGTTCTAAACACTAAGAGGATCAATGCTGTTTTGGGGTGGGTAATCCAATAAATGCATGCCTCAGGAGGCACCTGACAAATTTAATATAACTGATTAATAGTCCCTGCTCGATTAAAGCCCCGAGGATTCTTCGGCTGTCGAGGGATTATTGCGGTCGAGGATAAGCCTGCGATCACCCTCTTCTTTTTTTATTTGATCGATATCGTTTCCGCATTAATCCATCATAAAGCGTTAATTGATAAGTTTCTAAGTCGACAAGTTGAAAAGGTACTGATATATATATATATATATATATATATATATATTTATTGTCTGAAAAAATAAGTTAAATTTATTTTTCTGTGGAGTTTAGTGATCGTTAATAGTTAATGATTATTTGAAGATCGTGAGATGCAGACTGGTGTGACGTAGGTTTAGAAAACATTTTATTTATCACGCCAATCTTTCCATCAGTATCGAGATCATCTTCAGGGCTCAAAGTTTTTGTTTTCCGTGTAGATGTGACATTATTGTGTGTCGAGTTGAGAGTGCACTCTCGTGACCATTAAATAATCGAAACAGTTAATGTTTACGCTTGAATTTAAATTTTTATTTTCGTTTTAATTTAAGTTGAGTTTGGTTTGTCTCGTTGCCACGGGGAACGAATTTTTACTCCTCCCATTGCTATGGGAACCAAATGTTATGCTTTCGGTTGCCATGAGCACCAGTGTTTACACGTCGCCGTTCCTACGGTGAATTGTTTTGTATTTTTCATTACCATGGAAACGCCCCTTATTTTTTTTTTTTTGTCAAATCCAGTCAACTGGACCAGTCGCGCCTCAACCGCCTAGAAGACATCATACGCTCTGTTTCTTAAATTTAGATGTTTCAGGCAGTAATTTTATATAAGTTATTTTGTATTGTAAATCGATAGTTCAACGTTCTGTACTGTTCAACAATACGGGCGTTATTATTATTATTCGTCCGCCGCACTACAATCAGTTGTATTCTATGTCTTGATTCACAACGACCGCACGCCTGACATCTTCCCGCACCGCAGCAGAAGTGGACCCGACTTCATAATCTTTCCCGCACAACCGCAACGCCACGTCACATCTATACATCAAGAGTACTCACAAGTGAACTTTTAGTTTAATTTAAATATATATACTTTTTTTTTGTATCTTCATTTTAACTTAATTTTTTCTTTCTTTTCTAAATTCATTGAAGAGCTCTTCCATTATTTCTCTGTTTAATTAATTTTTAATTTAAAACTAATACTATAATTTTATTTGATAGTATTATTATTACAATAAGAAACTAACTTTGTTTACCTTTGCCGTAACTTTTTCTTATAATATATTTGTTATTTCTATTAGATAACATTTTATTTTGCATATTATTGCCTATTTACGCTGTCTAAAGGATTTGTAATATACAGAAGCTCTAGATTTAATCAGGTGAGTGATTTGAGTGGCAAAGCGTCGTAAAATAGATCTGGCAACACATTTGGGAAAAAGGTTACCTCCCACAATCGGACGAGGTCGCTGAATACCCAACAGTTAAATTTATTACACAATTACGTGGACAATATGACCTGACCAAAGATTATTTAAAGCGTTGGAAATCATAAAATCTGAAATATGAAGTAAAATTTATCGAAAACGTTTCAGTAATAATAGACTAAATTTTTATTGTACATTTCAAATTTATTGGTTTTTGCAGGCGTTGGATACTTTTAAATTTCTGCTGTAATAAATATAAAACAGCATATACAACAAATACAGTTTAATAAAATCTATCAAGTTTTATGTGACGACCGCTGAATTTCTAATCTGATTAGAATGGGATTTCGCTCAATGTATCAACAAGAAAAACCTTATTTCGTTAAGATTCGATGTTTCAAAACTATATCGTATCTATCTTCTATCTCAAGGCTTTCTTGATCAAAACGCATATTAACAAAAAGATGGTAGCTATAGCGGAATCTTCTTATTTTTTTTTATTATTGGCAGCATATTTATGCTCGTACATCCTTCGGTGGAGTTATTGTTTTTTATACGAGACGAGTGGACACCTTTATATTATGCCTAGTATAAAGTTGGTTACCTACGACCTAACGTATAACAATGAGGCTACATTTTCGACCTAACATCTAACATTAGCCCTGACCTGTTAGATCGAGCAATGTCAACTAGCCGATTCTTACAAATCTACATCATCATTCTTCTCGATCTAAGGATCTAACAGAGTTGACACAAAGCTCGTCAATACTACTAATATGTTCAATATATATAATATTCGCTATTTTTCGTGGTCCGCTTGACCAATTAATATATATAATATGTTCAATCATTTACACACATCACTTTTTTCTTTCTTTCTTTTTTAATTTGTGCAGTACAGTGTTAAATGTTCTTCTATATATATAAATAAAACGTTATTTCATTCTATAATTTAAATCCAAATTACAAAATAGCTTCCAGAACTAATTTCAATACCAATTTAATTAATTTTAACACGAGGTTCTAAAGGAGTATAATCTAGTATTACTTAGTATTTAGTAGTTAATTCTATTTCTATGTAATTAGCCTTTGGATTTTGCGTTGTTTACAAGCAAACATTTATTATTATTTATAATAAGATTGCTTCCTTTCAATAAATATATTTACTTTGAATAAAACCGGTACAAATAACCAATCGTTCCTCGCCGGACGAGGGTTATTTTGCTGCGTCCATACAAGTAACACACATACACCTATACTGACCCAAGCACACTAACAGTACTCACACGGCGATAAACGTCGTGGTTGCGAGAGCCGAGGAAACCGGAAAATTGGAAAAACGGTCAAAAACGGTGTGGGTCCTGAAGATTGAGGTGGGCGCATAGTCATACCTTACTTAAACTGCTTGACTCGCTGCTTTGTTCGAGGATCTTTTATAGATGCATGACCTCTTCCTCGGCCCGAAAAACTGAAAAACCTTAATAGGCTCTATTATCAGGGCCTGAGAGCGATCTCGGGAGCGTTCAGGACCAGCATCATGGCAAGCCTGTGCTGAGAGTTAGGGGCCTTATCTCCCGAACTGCGGAGAGACAAACTCATATTCGGAAAAACAGCCGCGTTGATGGTTACGTCGTGAATCCTCTGGCTGGGACGATCCTTCAATTCCCGTAAAGGGAAATCTACAACATGTTTGATTACGGACGAGACCCCTCGAGTAAGCCTTAGGGAGGGCTGATCTGGCCTTTGAAAGAGTACTTCGTATGGGCAGACACATTCTCCGATGGACCCTTCGGACAGTACGAGTCCGTGGCTATCTGCCGAACGTGGGTAGGTCGAGTACACCGTCAAACCTCTATAAGGCTAGTTGTTTGAACTTAGGAACAGATACGCCGGTTTTCGTCTAGTTTTTACAGACGGGTCCAAGACTGGCGACGG